TATAACTTGGCACACAAGTAGACTACACTAAGATACATAATTCTGTGTATCGGTTTTTGATTTTGATGAACGGTGTTGCCGTGGTTACTAAAAATAGAAATTTCTGTGAAATTCTTTCAAAATGCTACTCCTCCTACAGTTTTGGTCTGATTTCAATATAACTTGGCACATAAGTAGAATACACTAAGATACATAATTCTGTGTATCGAATTTTAATTTTGATGAATGGTGTTGCCGTGGTTACTAAAAAAATAGAAATGTCTGTAAAATTGTTTCAAAATGCTACTCCTCCTACAGTTTTGTTCTGATTTCAGTATAACTTGGCACACAAGTAGACTATACTAAGAACATAAAGAGACTTTATCAACGATCATTATTAGGGCCCCGCAAGGATTTGCGGGTGCCCTATAATCACTCTGTCCGTATGTCTGTCTGTCTGTCTGTCCGTCTGTCACTCTTCCGTCCACAAATTTTCTGTTTTTTTCTAATAACTTTTTTTATTGTTGCCCAATCAAGTTCAAATTTGGTATGGTAGTTCAGTAGGCAGAAATACATATTTTGATGCTAAGTTTGGTTCTCTATGTCTTCTGGTTTGGAGCTGGGGTGGTTGGGTAGATTCCTTAACTATGCATAAGAATGAATGGGCAACTTTTTTTTATGTCTGCCCTATCAAGTACAAATTTGGTATGATAGTTCAGTAGGCAGAAATACATATTTTGATGCTAAGTTTGGTTCTCTATGTCCCCTGGTTTGGAGCTGGGGTGGTGGGTAGATTCCTTAACTTTATATACAAAAGCTTTGGCAAAGAGAGATAACTGCTGAACATGTTCCTATTGTAAAACTGAATGCTGCTATGAGTCCCTTGGGATTAATTAGCTTTCCTCCTGAAGAAAATCCAGAGCATTATCTTTATCTGTCAAATTGAGATGAATTACCACCTCTGTCTGCAAATGAAGTTTGTTTTGAAGTTAAGTCAATTTGGAATGCTATGAACACTCTGAAATGTGGATTTAAATTTTATAATTTTTTTTATAATTTATATTTGTTAAATAGTTATGATTTCATTAAATTCTAATAACAAGAAATAGATTAAAGAAGATTTTTTGAACCATTTTTTGATTTACTTTTTTCACTTTATGTTAATTCAAGCATATTATTCAGGGCTCTAACGACACTTTTGGGAATGGGTCCAAGGTTTTTAAAAATTGGGAAAAATAGCGACATTTTTGGAAATTTGAAGATAACCATTATTCTTTAGAAACATGATATACTGGGTTTCTGATCTTTGTTATTAATTAAATCATTGTTTTGCAATACATAAGAATGTGAAAAACAAATTTAATTACCCGGTATTACACATCAAGCTATATATTTTTTTTAATTTTGGGGAGAATGATTTTTGGGAAAATTAACACATTCAATTTGGAAAAAGGGTACATTTTTTGAATTGGGAATCAACGGCCCCAATTATAGAGAATCGAGAGCCCTGTTATTAATTTTTAGAATAGTTGTATAAAAACCCCATTCTATCATTAATACTGAAAAAGTTCTTATTGTACTTTAGAAGAAAATGATGAGAGAGGTACAATTATCCCTTGGGATTAATTATCTAGCCTGCTGCAGAAAATTTAGTAGGCTTTTCTTTATTCTGTCACTTTAAGATTAATGAAAACCTTTGTCTGCAACTGCTGTTTGTTTGAAGTTAAGGTCAAGCCTTCATGATATTTGCATTCATTCAAGGCTGGCATTTTATATAACACAAATTCTTCATAATTGTTTAAATATACATTAAGTTGTTCTTTACTGCCTAATGTAAGTACAAGGATATTATTTTCAGGTTTTTGAATATTCAGGAATTATCTTGAAATTTTAAGAACACAGTTGCTGTTGCTTATTCTTCATACATTTTTTAATAATTCCGTAAGTTGCACCCTTATAATTCTACCCCATGGCGGGGCCCTTGCTGACTGGTCAGTTTTCTAGTTCTATTTAGTTTCAAATCCCAGCTGCTTAAGTACTTTTCTCTTCCTTTGCTATAAGTTCAAACCAGTAGAGCTTCAGTCTCAACAGAGACTTCTGGTTCTCAATTTCATCTTCTTTTCCGAAACCACTGGACAGACTACAATCAAAATGATCAAACATGGCACAAAGTATCCCTGGGTGAAGGGGAGTTAAGTTCAATTGAAGGGTCACACCATCTCTCAAGGGGAGATAACTACAAAATTACAAATTAGTGAAAAATTAATGGCTTAAAATTCTCTTAATATTTTTCTTCTGAGGAACTACTGGGCCAGGAAAGATAAAACATGTGGAATCATCCTTAGGTAGCGTAGATTTATTCAAATCATGAGCCCTAAGGGAAGGATGGGGCCAGAATGGACAAACAAAGTTTTACATAGGAGTATATAGGGAAAAAAATCTTCTCAAGAATAGCAAATCCATGATGAGTTATGTTTATGTAAATATCCTCTGGTAGGGTAGTTATAAATTTGTTCAAACCATAAAGATGTTTAAAATTAAAAATACATTCAAGGTAATGCCTAAGATATTCACACGTAGATAAGCAATAGATTATGCGAACATATAGATCATACATGGAAAGTATATTCTATGAACACAGAATCTTTTTTCCATTATTAGCTCAGCTGAGCCAAAGGCTCAAGTGAGCTTTTCTGATCACATTCTATCTGTAGTCTGACCGTCCGTCTGTAAACTTTTCACATTTTCAACTTCTTCTCAAGAACCAATGGGCCAATTTTAACCAAGCTTGGTACAAAGCATCCTTATGCGATGGGGATTTTAAATTGTTAAAATTAAGGGCCAAGTCCCCTCCCAAGGGGAAATAATCAAGACAAGACAAAAATAGGGTGGGGTCATTAAAAAATCTTCTTCTCAAGAACCACTTTGCCAGAAAAATTGAAACTTATGTGGAAGCATCCTTGGGTAGTCTAGATTCTAAATTATTAAAAACAAGATGGGGATGGTGGTGGTGGGAGGGGGTAGGGGGACACAATAGATATATAAGAAGAGGGGAATTCTGGTAAAGAAATGCATTACCAAAGTAATCAGCTGAGTGATGTGGCACTCGGGTCTCTTGTTTTTTTTTTTTCATTTGAACTCAAAGTTTTGATAATTTTATGGATAATCATATCATTATTTTATAGAAAATTCAGGCAGTAAAAAATAACTCCCACATCTACTTTATCACCAAAAAAATGGTTAAAAAGAACATACATGTATAAATAAATACAAGTAAGCTAATGTTCTGAATTTCTTTTGACAGATTTTGATAAGGTGTTATGGAGTTGTTAAGAAGAAGATGAAGAAATTGACTTCTTACAGGTTAGAAAAAAAAAATCATCTATACCCTCCATTCTATAAGATGAATATTTTAGATGATTATTTGAAAAGGGCTGAAATCAAACAATCATTTAAGAAAAAAAAACCCTCATTTGATTTTTAGGTCAAATGAATCATTAAGTTGACTTATTGGTATCATTTCTAGTCTTTTGTTTGTTGTGCCCCATGTGTAAAAAAAATTTTCCAGGGGGGGGGGTCCAACCTAGTCCGAAGAAAACCTCAGAAATTTCTTCACAAGCAAAAAAAAAAAAACAAACTCTTTTACCAAATATACGACTTTCCAAGGTCACTTTTAGTTGGTTTAGTACTCTGAAATTTCTAAGTGGATGGACCCACACACATGCTCACTGTAGATCATACCTATCTTTAAAGTGTGTATGGTACATCATCACAAAAATCTACGTTTAATACTGCACAACATTGTCACATACATTGTATGGATTAATATATGAAGGAAATTAAATTTATTTGTGATTTAAGATGATATTTTATTTTATAAATTGTATAAACTTGAAATGGTGGACATGTTTTCATATTACATTGTACAATCTACATGATTTATGATAATTTTAAAAATCTTCAGTATAATTATTATGAATACATGACATGTTTTAATCTATCAATATTTTCATTTTAGATAAACTTCCATTGTGAATACTTGGACCCTGCAATTCACAGAAACAATGAAAGATTTCAGAACCCAATGTAAAGGTTTCTATGTTTGTGTTAATTTGATTAATTGTGAACAGAGACAAGTTATTGTTCTAGATTTAATTATAAGAAGTATATTAAGATAAAATATTGATCTACAACATTTAATGTTTACAGAGAGACCTGTAACTGATGTCTATAACTGTAGCACAATGTTGTAATTTACAGAGAGATCTCCCTGACTGAGGGAAATCAACATAAAACCACAGGATAAAGAAGAAACAGATGTCAACTGTCAGTGATGTATAGAGCAGTGCTACAGAAATCTGTCAGAGTGTCTGGTGTTAGAGGGTGTCGTCACATTTCACGTGTTACATCAGACCGGGTCTGGATCAGTGATGATGAAGGCAATCTTATACTGACAAACACAAAAGGAGAAGAACTAGATCACGTGACAGATATAGGTAGTGATGAGGGAGTACACACTGTAAACCGTGAGTGTGATCTAATCTACATAGACAGTGAATATAACATTAATAAACTGTCTACAGATAACAAAGAAAAGACTACGATAATAAAGTACAACAAACCATGGAGACCAGTGAGTGTCTACAGCTCCCCCTCCACTGGAGACCTGCTGGTCGGGATGTGTATGTATAGAGATGATACATTTACAGCCAAGGTAGTACGGTATAACTCCACAGGAAAAAACATCCAGACCATACAGCACAACAACAAAACGGGTCAGGAACTGTATAGATATCCTGGATACATCACAGAGAACCGTAATGGAGATGTTATTGTGTCTGACTATTACCGTAGTGCTGTAGTGGTGACAGATCGTGACGGTAATTACCGATTCTCCTACACAGGTCCTCCATCAGGATCAGGACTATGGCCATGTGGAATCTGTACTGACGCGCTGTCACACATCCTGGTCTGCGATGGTAACACCGACTCAGTACAGATGTTAGATAGTGAGGGTCACTATCTGACAGAGGTACAGACACGACAACACGAGATAGACAGACCATGTGGCCTGAGTTATGATGAGGACACACACCTACTGTGGGTAGGGGCATATCACAACAACACAGTCAACCTATACAGAGTGGTAGATACAGACTCTCTGACTGGTAAGTAACATTGTAGTCTGTTTTATTGTATTGTATAATTATAATACCAATACTAAATAATTACACTATAATAGAGAGGTCATTTAAGACTAACTTTACATGTAGTGTTTATTTACAAATGCTATAGTTTGATCAGAAATGATTGCTCATTGTGTAAACAACAAATATAAACTGTTAAAGATGAAATTTATGACTATAAAGATGATAAATAGATTAAAAAGTAATAATAGATGTACATCTAGTCTGTAATTAATTGTTAGATGTTGTGTGTAACTCTTCAATCACTGAATCATACATGTACATTGAACTCTATATACACTGAATCTTAATATTTCAAACTTTTCTGTAATTTATTTTCTCAGAACCATTTTTAGTACATTCATACATCTGGTATAATTATGTTTGTTTGACAGACAGACTTTGATTTTGAATATTGAGACTTTGAATATTGGGGGTAATTATCAAGTTTTGAAATTATGTGCTGTTTTGTTCGAAAAATGAACTTTGTGTATCGCATGATCAGTTTTGAGAAATAGCGGATTAAATTTTAAAATCTTTTTTTTTTAACAATGTCCTTTATAATGTATTCAGTTTAAGTAAGTCTACATTTAGAACACATGACAATTTGTACTAATGTTGACAGTTAGATATACACATCATTGATATTAACACAGCTTTGTCTAGGAATGTTGTGTATTTCTGTAGCAGGTGCTCAGTAAATCTACACTGTGTACTGGGGTGACATTGACATTAACACAGCTCTGTCTAGGAATGTTGTGTATTTCTGTAGCAGGTGTTCAGTAAATCTACACTGTGTACTGGAGTTACATTTTTTGTATGAGAAAGTTCTAGATGAAATATGGAAATAATTGTACAGTATTCAAACTTAAAGTCCTTAGTAAAGTTTAAGATTCATTTCAACTTTATGAACAAAATTTTAAAAAATGCAAAGAATAAGCCTGAATGTGACTGAGCTGTGTCTTGCTAGTGAAAGGGAGACAATTCAATTTTGTATTTGAAGTTGAAGAAGAAAATCAAGTTACCCCCCTTTTCATTATAAGTGTAAAAAGAATTCCTGATAAAAACATAACTTAGTCTCTTGCTTTGTTTCAAATAAGCTGGTCCATGCAATAAAGATATAATTCTATTATAACTGCCTGTATCAAGTGTAAGTGCATGATATGGTGAAGAGGGAAATATAGTTTATATATTTATCATTATAAGAGCCTGTCTACGAGAAAACCATGCAGATAACTAGAAAAACGCTCTGATAGGCACTCTCAAGAACAAACTAATTTTTATTCTGAACTTAAAGGACACCCAATGAGAGTCAAAAATATGTTGTTTATTTTTGCATCGGTTGTTTCTATTTTTAGTAACAGCCAATAATTCATTTTGGTCAATATTCAAGGGAAAATGCAAAAAAGTTGGTGAAAAAATGACAATTTCAATAGTTAAAAGTAAGAAAGAAAAAAACAATATATAAATAAAAGGGCTATGTTTTCTCATAGAATTAAGTCGTAAAATTAAGTTGGAATCATTTTTTTTGTAAAACCCCTATATAGAAGGCTGTCACGAGGGCACAAATATTGGCATGGTGCCAAGAAATGATAATGGTTCATTTTTTGTTAATATTCAGGGATACATTTCTTAGAAAGTAACGCTTCTTTTTTCAGAATTTTGTGCATTTAAGAATCTTTAGGATATTATCCAAACAATATGTAAAATCCACCTTTGGACTCTCAAGGACAGAAAAGTTATATCGTAATGAAATTACCCCAAATTCAAATGAGGGAAAAATTCATGATTTTATAAGTTTTACTTTTAACAGTAATTTTAATGAATTTTGTGTAAAATATTTACAAATATAAACAATGAAAATTATTTTTATTTTTATAAAAGCTATAAATAATTTTTTCCCTGTTTTTCCTGTGAAAAAAAAACGTATTTTACTATTTATTTAGATTTTGTTAGAATTATCTCCCGTGTTGCGCTCTTCTGTAGAGAAGGTAGATAATGATTATGTTTACGAAGTTTATAAACAGATTTCTGTCATCTAATCGTTTTAGGCATCAATTATGTGTGATTTGAAGAAAATTGTCCCTCCTGTGAATGTAATTTGTTACGTATATACTAGTGGCTATGTTTAAAATGCATAAAACATTATGAAAACCATCGGAATCGAAGTACCACGTGTAAACATTTTGGCATCCTGAGACGTTTTGTTTACCGTTTTGTACGTCCCCAGAAAAAGATTCAAGTGCGTTAATTGTCAACGAGTCTTCGGATTATGGCTCTGATTTTGATGAATATGATTCTGGCAGCATTTGGTAGCAAGACGGATGTAGTTATATGATGATACCGAATCAACAATGTTTGAATTTGAAAAAGAAACAGGTAGGTGGATCTTGGTTTATATTATCATAAAAATACATTACAAAAAAACTTTGGCATCTTGGGGGCTGCTCTCTGATTTATACCTACTTAGTTAGCTTTTTTTACCTACCTGAAGTAGCTTTATTTAGCTGCCAAATTAATTTTTTCTATAAAAATATACCTACGTAGCTAAATCTAGTGATTGTACTGGACCTGAATATATACCTAGCAAACCTGTCAAGAGAAATTTCAACATGTTCAAGGTTGGTACTTGTACATGTAGCAATAAAAATATCTGTATAAATTCAACAATATTGCAAAATAATTATAAATAGCATAAGTAGCCTTCGTGGGGTGATGAAGAGAGAATGAAAAGTTGAATAGGTCCAGGGTTTTCAAAGACTGTTTACTAATAGGGTACATTAAGAATTGGATAGGTGGGTCTTCACTGTCAATTAAATCACCATTATTGCCTTATATGTGGCTGCTTGATTATAAAGAATCTCATAATCTCATACTTTTAAAATAAAGGTAACCATGTGTTCCTTGACAAGTTTCTGTTGAAAACATAACTAATTAAATATTATAAACATAAAGAATATTTCCTTTCATTCTTACATTTCTCGTGCAATTTCAGATTATTCAAATTCATTTCCCTGGTTAGGGCTGGGCTTTACAATGGGATTTTCAGCTGTGGAGCTATAAAGAATTACTACATAGGGTTTCCAATGTAGTTTTGTGTACAGAATCCAGAAATAAGAAGAGAAAAGACAATGCAGATGCAGCATTAGAATTACCAACTACTTATCACTGCTGAGGAAATGGTAAAGATGTGTTATATTATTATACCTCTACTGTCATTACTCTGTATAAATTAATACCATAAAACTCTATTTCCCCGATAAGTGACTATTGCCCTCATCTGAAGACTACTCCCTGGAAAATCAGAGTTGCTCCCTTGGACTACTCCCTCATGAATATTTATTAGTAATTTTAACCAATCAAAGTGTTCAGTGGGTGAAGCGTTCAAAGAATCTCGAGTCTGTGACGTCATGTTATTAGCAATGTAGCTATGACGTCAAAACATTTCGACGTGCGATGTGAAAATCATACTTGAATTCTACCAAAATGAAGAAAACGATAATTTTTCGAAATGTCAGTGAAAATACTTTTTTAAAAATAAATTAATTGTTTAAGGACACGATGCTTCACTTATCATACATTGTGTTAAACCGCATGCATTTGTAATTATGCCTCTACAGTTTTTTTTTTAAAATGTTGGAATATCTGGTTAAAAAATTTCAATCGCCTATCATTGTTTTGGTATAATAAAAAAGTTATGGAATGGGAGCTCGGGAAATAACAAATTTATTGTTCCCCTTGGCAGAAAATTATTTCCTCCGGGAAATAGTTTCCTCCCTCGGGGAATCATAAATTTGCTATTTCCCTCATACCCATTTCATAACTGTATACTATAGTACATGGAAAGGAATTGCCCTCTCTGTCGATTTGCCACATGCATTTTTCCCTACTCTATTACTTTACTTCAAGGATATATGAAGCTCTTGTTTTCTTCAAAGAAAGCCAGAAGAATTTGTGAAGAATCTTACCTAAATCATTTGATGACATTTTCTTCAATTGATTAATTTAAATGTATCATTATCATAAACATGATATTTATTTTAAAAATCTTAGAATATGTCTTGTATGTTTTATTTCAATTTAATTTGAAAACTGTGTTTTTTCACAGGTACCTGATTTGAGTACTACTCTTGCGTATTTGGAGACAGTCCAGTTGTTCTTTAAACCAGAAGTGGAAATTTCAGTGCTTGTTAAATTTTCTCCAGAAGTTATTGGATGATACATTGGAAGAAAATGGGATCATACTGAACAAAATAGTTTGGACACACCTTATAGAATTTGAAAGATTGAGACCTCAAGATCAACCCAAATAATATTTAATATGTATCAGGGTTCACTTGCAAGAATACACAGAAATTCAGAGTAAATTTTAAGTGTTTGTTATCTTAGAGAAGATCAAAGTTCAAGGTCAGCAGTGCTTTAGTTTTACCAAATATAAAACTGTTATAAAGACTAATTTCCTGTATACAGTTATAGCAAATAATTCAGAATATGATTTGGGGAAACTGTGATTTTTTTCTTTTAAATCTTACCTTAATTTAGAACCATGATGTATACTTAAGCAAGTAGATTTTTTTTCAAGCATACAAAATTTCAAGGTCATTTTAATTTTGGAAGTGAATATAACATATCAGGAAGCAGTCAAGCATTGTAATTTATTTGTTGTTGAATGTACTTAGTTATTGAGTAATATTCAAATTTTAATATGCAATGAAATTAAAAATTATAAAATAACTAATGTCCTAATTTGTTGATTTTTTAAAACTTTGTGTTCATTCATTTTGAGGTTGTTGCCATTACAATATATCTGTCAAGAAAATAGCTCTGATATTCCTTTCTGTTCAGTTTGACCCTTGACCTTTAACATTGTGACCTCAAAATCTAAAGGGGTCCTCTACTTTTCAAGAAACCAATGTACTAAATTTCATGTCTGTCAAACAATGGGTCCTCACGATTTTGAATGATTAAAATCTACATACTGGTATATGGAGAATTATAACCCTTGACCTTTGACCTTGTGAACTCCAAATTAAAAGGGGTCATCTACTTATTAGTAGATACCAGTGTACTTTGTTTATTATTTATCAAGCAAGTTTTTTTTAAGATAAGAAAGAACAAACTTGGTCTACTGATTGACAAACAGGTACTAAACAGTATGTGAATATCACCCTGCTCAAATAAAAAAATGTAAAATAATACAATTCTGCTACCCCCCCCCCCCCCCCCAATTTAACCCCCTAAGAAATAATTATTGATTGAAAACAAAAATTTTCAATATACTGGTATTTTTCAACCGCAAAATTTGAATTCTTGAAAATATTTAAATCAGCAAATAACTCCTTGCTGAAGTTCAGGGATGAGAAAAAATTTGAAAATTCACAAAAAATGTCCAACTTTAAGTAAAAAGTACAGCAAAATATTTGAGAGTCCAAAGACAGATTTTTTATATAATGTAGACAGACATGTTGTCTAATAATTGGTTTGAGATTGAGTTGATTCTAAGCGTTACTTTCTGAGTTATGGGTTTTTGAAAAGTTAATATTTTTACCAGTTTTCAAAAATCTGGAAATATGCCAGATTTGTGACCTTTTTGCACTTAAACGAGGGCACAGTTTGTGATTATGAAAAAAATTCCGAAACAAGTATATCTTGTTACTTTCAACCATATATGGATAATTTATATCATAATCAAGTAAAATGCTGAATTTTTAAATATAAAATCCTATAAAATTCCTGTTTTCACCCTGCGTAAGGACCAAGAATTCTATTTTTAGTAACAGTGTCGATTTTACCCCTTAAGTGAGACCACACTGAAAAAAAAATTGTGGCAAAATATTTCATATTATAGAAGAAATTTACACACAAAACATGAAGTTGATCAGAGAACCTTGCTCCCATAACCTCTTGCATGGTTTTCTCGTAGACATGCTCATAAATTTATTCTGTCCATATGTAACTCTATGTATTCCAATTAAATGAATTTAAAACACTGGAAGCCCTTAGATGATAATGCAATGAAAATGTTCCATTTTTACCCTGTTACAAGCACTGAAGGTCACTGACAGAGATATATGTAGGGTTGATTTCTGTGGTTTACACAGTCACTGAACGAAGTGTTGGTGCTTAGAGAAGGGGGGGGGGGGAGGGTTAATATATGGCTGTACTATTTCAAGTTATGTCAATAATTTTTCATTATAGCAAAGTTAGATGTCTCGTATGACTTATTTTAATCTATGAGAAAATTGTTGGATTGTTTTTATTTTAATTACATCCACCCACATATATGTATGTATGTCACCGTGTTGTGGTTTTTTTTGTTGGGGGCAGGGGTTGTAAGAGTATGTCTTACTCAGTGAATTTTCAGTGGAGTTATGTTACAAAATCATTCTTTAGGGCTGCATACCACACAGGGGCATATTATAACTCTAAGCAGTTCTAGAGGTCCTGTGATTTTGGTTAAGATCATCAGTTCTTAGCTAAAGTACATTTTGATGAATAGTGTGTTGATTGTGAATGTTTATCTTTATTTTACCAAATTGCCTTTGCTTCATGAATATTAATAAAGATTCGGAGTATTTACAATATAAAACTTTTTTTATTTCTAACAGGACTCCCTCTGGAGGACATCAAATGTATTATACATCCCAGAATTCCGCTGGACCAGTTCTGTACCCCGTGTGGTGTTCCCTTGTGTGTGGAGTGTACCAGCTCTGAGGATCACAGCAGACATGACCTTAGAAATATAGAGACATTGTTTGACAACATTCACAGGATAGAAGGTATGAGTTTGAACCTTCTTTAAAAATTTCAATGGAAATTATCATTCTACTTTGATTATCACATAAATATTTATTAACTACAATTACCTTTAATGATCTGAACTAAATACTAAAGAGATAATTTTCTGATCAAAATTTCTAGGCTGCCTTGTTACCGGTAGCTTTGTCTTTAACCAAATATTGGGAGGTATATAAATTATAGAATCACCTTGTCTATTTAATATCCATCTAGCTGTCCATTTAGCAGATATGCCCAGACCAAAACTTCATGATAGGAAAACACTGAAAGTATGTACAGGTATAGGACACAATGATTATGTGTGTTGACCGTTACGTAAGGTCACTTAAGCGAGTTCAAGGCCAGGTGCGGATCCAGAAATTTTTTTCCAGGGGGGGGGGGGGGTCCACCCCAGTCCAAAAAAACCCAACCTAGAAATTTCTTGACAAGCAAAAAAAAAAAAAAAATAAAATAATAAAATAAAAAAACCCCAAAAACTTGCCAAATCTAATTACCTTAAAAACCTATCTCGGAGGAGAGGGGGGGGGACATGACTTCTAATACATCAACCCTTTTAACACAAATTCACGTTTACTAAGGGGAGGGGGGTCTGCGTTTTCCATGGGTGGGGGAGGGTCCAAGGTAACTTTTTGTTGCTTTAGTATATAAATTTGATAACCTTGCAGATTCCAGGGGGGAGTCCTGACCCCTCTAGATCTGTGCATGAAGGCCAAAAATCACCTAATCAAATCCTCTAATGGACTGTATTTTACATTTAATGTTATGATTAAGGACCTTCACTAATAAACTTACACAATTGTACAAGTAATGGAATTTTTGTACAGAAGCTCAAAGATTCGGGTTTCATATACTAATACACATAAAAAGTTAATGCCATCTACATGATGTAGTTGTGGAAATTAATAACTTGAATGTTCAATCAATCAACAAGTGGAAAAGCAACCTCAAATGTGTTGCATGGATGTCCATGACCTCCCCCCTTTTTTTTTCAAAAACATTTGAATCAATGTAAGAAGATCTGTAATCTGTATAATGCAACTATAAAAAGGAATTTTACTCAAATTGGTTTAAAATTTTTAACAGCAGGTGATGTAAATACATTCAAGGGGTATTTCCGGAGTTGTTCATCATTATTTTATTGTTTATTTTGTAGATGGAGATACACTATTGATGTGCCTTCTTCTGTCCGATTCCTACAGAATAAACATGAAAGAAGGAAACTGGATGACCAAATATAATTCTGTTGCCAAATGTCTTAACTCAAAGGAAATCAAAAAGCCATTTGTCCATACACATTTAGAAAATTACAAACCAATTCTGAAACTCAATGAATCAGAGATCAGTTTTTCCTCTGAGGTCTTCAAAAACATTAGTTTCCTTAAATTTTCAAAGAGTTTTGAGTTTAACTTTACCGATATTTTCTTAAGTTGGGCAAAAAAAGAAAACATCACCGAATACTGTAGATCCTGGAATTATCGGAGAGGACAGGATGAAGTTTGCTGTTGGTTGCTGCCAGAAAAAAATGAGGAGTTTTTAGAAAGACTTGGAGAAGATGTTTTCACGCACCCAACCATGGAAGACCAATCATTCCATGAAGACGTATTTAGGAAACGTAAGTCTGTTTTCAGCTCACCTGGACTAGTTACTTGGATAAAATTTAATGATTTAAAAGAAGTTTTTAGCTCATCTGAACCTGAGCTGAAAGCTCAAGTGAGCTTTTCTGATCACATTTTGTCCGTCTGTCTGTCTAGCTGTCCGTCTGTCTGTCTGTCTGTAAACTTTTCACATTTTCGACTTCTACTCAAGAACCGCTGGGCCAATTTCAACCAAACTTGCCACAAAGCATCCTTGGGTAAAGGGGATTCAAGGTTGTTCAAATGAAGGGCCACGCCCTCATTCAAGGGGAGATAATTAGGAATAACTGAAAATTTGGTGGCATATTTTAAAAATCTTCTTCTCAAGAACCACTGTGCCAGGAAAGTTGAAACTTATAGAGAAACATCCTCAGGTAGTGTAGATTCAAGTTTGTTCAAATCATGACCCCCGGGGGTAGGGCAGGGCCAAGATGGCCGACCAAAATTTACATAGAAATATATACGAAAATTCCTTAAAAATCTTCTTCTCAAGAATGACAAAACCATGATTCATCATATTTATATGGAAGCATGCTCAGATAGTATAGTTACAAGTTTGTTCAAATCATGACCCCCTGGGGTAGGGCGGAGCCAAAATGGCTGACCAAAGTTTTACTTAGAAATATATAGGACAATTCTTTAAAAATCTTCTTCACAAGAATGACAAAGCCATAATTCATCATATTTATATGGAAGCATGCTCAGGTAGTTTAGTTTCAAGTTTGTTTAAATCATGACCCCCGGGGGTTAGGGCGGGGCCAAAATGGCAGACCAAAGTTTTACATAGAAATATATAGGAAAATTCTTTAACAATCTTCTTCTCAAGAATGACAAAGCCATAATTCATCATATTTATATGGAAGCATGCTCAGGTAGTGTAGACTCAAATTTGTTCAAATCATGACCCCCAGGGGTAGGGAGGGGCCAAAATGGCCGACCAAGGTTTAACATAGAAATATATAGGAAAATTCTTTAACAATCTTTTTCTCAAGAATGACAAAGCCATAATTCATCATATTTATATAGAAGCATGCTCAGGTAGTGTAGATTCAAGTTCGTTCAAATCATGACCCCCGGGGGTAGGGCGGGGCCAAAAATGGCTGACCAATGTTTTACATAGAAATATATAGGAAAATTCTTTAGGCCTAAAAAAAAAATATGTTTGTTTCCTGTAACCCGACCAACCCATTCAAATTATCCCCGGGTGGATTTTTTTTTCTGACAAATGGCAAAACTTTGTTTGATCAATCAGCTGATTCCATTTATTAAATATAAAAAAATAGCTTGTAGCTTAATTTGAGACATAAAATATGTCAACTTAGTGTACATTTACCTTAAATATAAAGAGTAATCATTATTGTAACAACAGTTTCCCCCTACAACTTCTGAAGTTCGCTTTCTGCAGCTTGGCAGCCATTTTGGATGCCATATTGGGTGTCCACTGTAAATATAACACCTGGTATTTTCGGTCCGGGGATGTTTGACCATTCATAAGCAAAAAAAAAAAAAAAAAAAAATAAAAAGAATTTCCGACCTACCGACCCTTAATTTTTTGGGAATGTTACAGGAAACAAACTTTTTTTTTTTTTTTAAGCCTTAAAAATCTTCTTCACAAGAATGACAAAGCCATAATTCATCATATTTATATGGAAGCATGCTCAGGTAGTGTAGTTTCAAGTTTGTTTAAATCATGACCCCCGAGGGTTAGGGCGGGGCCACAATGACCGATCAAAGTTTTACATAGAAATATATAGGAAAATTCTTTAAAAAATCTTCTTCTCAAGAACCACTGTGCCAGGAAAGTTGAAACTTATTGGGAAGCATCCTCATGCAGGTAGTGTAGATTCAAGTTTGTTCGAATCATGACCCCCAGGGGTAGGACGGGGCCACAATTGCCAATCAAAGTTTTACATAGAAATATATAGGAAAAATCTTTTAAAATCTTCTTCTCAAGAATGAGCAAAGGCATGAATATAAATATAATATATTTATATGAAAGCCTCTTCAGGTAGTGTAGATTCAGGTTTGTTCAAATCATGACCACGGGGGGGGGGGGGGTAGGGGGGCCACAATGGCCAATCAAAGTTTTACATAGAAATATATAGGAAAATTCTTTAAAAAATCTTCTCTGGAATAGCAAAAGCATGAATGATCATATTTTTATGGAAGCATCATCAGGTAGTGAACATTCAAGTTTGTTCAAATCATGACCCCTGGGGGTAGGGCGGGGCCACAACATGGAACTCAAGTTTTACATGGAAACATGTACAAAGAATCTTTAAAAATCTTCTTTTCAAAAATAGCAAAGCCATGATTAGTCCTTTTCATATGGAAGCATTCTCAGTAAGTTTAGATTCAATTTTCTTCAAGACATGACCCCTGGGGTTAGGGCGGGGCCACAATGTAAGTTCAAATGTTAAGGGCAATAAAGCCACAGGTAGTCAAAGAAATATGCAAGCATCCTTAGTTAGTGTAGATTAAAGTTTGTTCAAATCATACCCGCTCCCTTTTAAGGATTGTTTGGGACCACTATTGGGTTTCAACTTTTCAATAATAAACTGATTTATGCTTTTTAGCTCATCTGAGCCAAAGGCTCAAGTGAGCTTTTCTGATCACATTTTGTCCGTCGTCCGTCTAGCTGTCTGTCCGTCTGTAAACTTTTCACATTTTCGACTTCTTCTCAAGAACCACTGGGCCAATTTTAACCAAACTTGGTACAAAGCATCCTTGGGTGAAGGGGAAGTTAAATTGTTCAAATGAAGGGCCAAGTACCCTCACAAGGGGAGATAATCAAGAAAAGACAAAAGTAGGGTGGGGTCATTAAAAAATCTTCTTCTCAAGAACCACTGGGCCAGAAAAGCTGAAACTTATATGAAAGCATCTTAGGGTAGCGTGAATTCTAAATTGTTAAATTCATGACCCCCAGGGGTAGGACGGGGCCACAATGGGGAATCAAAGTTTTACATAGAAAGATATGGGAAAATCTTTGAAAATCATATACTCAAGAACCACTGGGCCAGAAAAACTGAAACTTATATGGAAACATCCTGGGGCAGTGTAGATTCTAAATTGTTAAAATCATGCCCCCGGGGATATTGCTGGGCCACAATGGGGACTCAAAGTTTTACATAGAAATATATAAGAAAAATCTTAGAAAATCTTGTATTCAAGAACCATTGGGCCAGAAAAGCTGAAACCTATGTGGAAGCATCCAGGGGTAGTGTAGATTCTAAATTGTTCAAATCATGACCCCTGGGGGTTGGATGGGGCCACAATGGGGAATCAAAGTTTTACATAGAAATATATGGGAAAAATCTTTGAAAATCTTGTACTCAAGAACCATTGGGCCAGAAAAGCTGAAACCTATGTGGAAGCATCCAGGGGTAGTGTAGATTCTAAATTGTTCAAATCATAACCCCTGGGGTTGGATGGGCCACAATGGGGAATCAAAGTTTTACATAGAAATATTTGGGAAAAATCTTTGAAAATCTTCTACTCAAGAACCATTGGGCCAGAAAAGCTGAAACTTATGTGAAAGCATTCTGGGGTAGTGTAGATTCTAAATTGTTCAAATCATAAACCCCGTGGGTAGGGCGGGTCCACAATGGGGAATCAAAGTTATACAATGTTGAATCAAAGCATCCTATGGTAAATATAGATTTCAAATTGTTTGAATTATGATCAATTGGGTAGGATGGGGTCACAACATGTATTACAAGGGGGGAATCTGTTAAAGAACGGAATGGTCAAAGCTTCTCAGGTGAGCGATGTGGCCCATGGGCCTCTTGTTTTCTAGCCACATTGCTCAGGTGGGCGATGTGGCCCATTGGCCTCTTGTTAGAATATGGGCCATAACTCAAGAACCCCTTGGCCAATCAGTGTCAAATTTGTCACAGGGTATCCTTGGCCCAAGGGCTACCAATTATACTAAAATAAGGGTTGGGACCCTTAAACAAGGGGAGATAAACAAGAAAACAAAACCAAAAGTACTGGTTGCTAAAAAATCTTCTTCTCCAGAACCACCAGGCAGATTTTCACCAAAGTTACGTACAAGGATTAGGATATGTTGAAGATTAAAAATTGTTCAAGGCATGACCCTGAGGCAAAGGGTGTGGTCTCAAGGTCACTTCAAATTTGACCTAAATTTACAGTTAATAAAAACATTTATATTTTGCTTACTATAAGGACTAGGATCATCAAATCTTGTAAGTTGATGCATCTTAGGACTTCATATCATGTTATATCAAAAGTAGGTCACGGTGACCTACTTTTTAGGTCACCTGAGTAACTCAGGTGACCTATTGCTATCCGTTTTCGTCCGTCGTCGTGCTTCGTACGTCGTCCGTCGTGCGTCGTGTGTTAACATTTGAACATTTTCATCTTCTGCTCTGAAACCACTGAACCAATTTCAACCAAATTTGGTATACAATATCTATGGGTGAAGGGGAGCAAAAATTGTGAATTTTATGGTCCCTGCCCCCCTGGGGCCTGAGGGGTGGGGCCAAAACCACCAAAATTATTGCAATCTTTAAAAATCCTCTTTACTCCTGGACATCAAGCAGGCAAACTGTTAGCACGAATGTAATGAGCATTGAGTCCTCTACCAAAATTGTGAAATTCATGGCCCCAGGGTCAGGGGTTCTGGTGTTAGGGTGGGGCTCTATTGACTATATAGTGAAAATGCATTTATTCTTTGTAAATCTTCTTCTCTGCTTCTATGTATTAAATAAACTAACTAAGTACATAGTTATAATGAGCAAGAGTGCCACTTTCAAAATTGTGAATTTCATGGCCCCAGGGTCAGGGGTTGTGGTGTTAGGGCGGGACTCTATTGATCATATAGTGAAAATGCATTAATTCTTTGAAAATCTTCTTCTCTACTCCTGGGTATTAAATAAATAAACTAAGCCAATAGTTATGATGAGCAAGAGTATCTATTCCAAAATTGTTTAATATTTAATGGCCCCAGGGTCAGGGG